CACAGGAAGCATACAAGTGCTCCACAAATTCATGTTAAGCCTTTTCCTTATTTTTATCAAGTATGTGCTTTTACAAAGGTAGATGCTCAAAATAAACATGACCAAATTTCTAAACCTTTGGCTTTGGCTGTCCACAATATGTTTACCCCAGACAGATCTGGGAGAAGCATAGAAGCCCTATCCACCAACAGTTCAAATATTCTGCTTACTAGAGGTAGCCTATCCGAAGAAAGTTGGCTTAAAGGGAGAGGGAAGAGAGCTAAAATGATTTATTTCATACACCAGATGAACCCAGGACCTACACCAAAGCCCAGGATCAGATTAATAAAGATTATTTTGAATTGTAAACCGGGTAAACCGCTCTATAAGACTGGAACGAAGTAAAGATGGAGGCTGAAATTAGTGTTTTTATTTAAAGTGTCTTTAATTTTAAAAAAGGCTTGATCATAAATATCATTATTTACGGCATGTTTATGTTGTTTTATCCTCCCTAATATTTATTTATTGGTTATCAATTTACCTAAAGCAAGTTTGATGTCTACACCTTTATGAGGATGCCGGTGGATGATAAGGTGTCGTCCAACATCCACCCTTTGCAGCAGTGTTGCTCAGGAACCACTGGCTCCTCATCGTTGGTGCAGTTTCACACTGTGTGTTCCCTATAATTTATAAAGTTTATATGTTTGCAGTGTTGAATTTTAAAAAAAACTGTTTCAGTGTTTATGTTGGATCCTGTATTTGCAGCTTAAGGTCACACTGAAATCCAATGAAGACTCTGGGACACGACAGGTTCTGTTGTCCACATAATGATACTGAGAACCATACAAGTTGCAAACATGTTTCCGTGTGTACACTGCACCCCTTTGACTTCTGCTTGAGTGAGCAGTGTTCACGTGCAGTGTTGGTGATTTTTGACCACTAAGTGGGGCACTTCTACCAAAGTGATGGCGAGCTGTTAATAACTCTCAACTTTCCTCAGTGAGGTGAACATGTTTCACTGTTGGATTAATAATTTATCTGTTAATCTCACCTGAAAAATTTAAAAATAATGAGTCTCTGGTGGTTAATGTGACCACAGCTTGCAGCGCTTCACTTAGATAAGTTTGTGGTGATATAATAAGAAGCATAAAGTGATGAAATCTGAGAAGATACGATCGGTGATGAAAAAGAGACAAAGCCTCATATCATATACAGATGACTCACCCAAGGCTGTCAGTTAAAGCTTGTTGTATATGAAATCTTTTGGAGAATAAATGACTGTCCAGAATCAATGAAAGACTTCTTTTATTCTTTTAATTATTCACTCTTATATCAGTTTGATAAATGCAGTTATTGTTTTATTATGTTACATTTCTTTGTTGATACCAATTGTTTATTGTGCAGCTTCTAACTGTGTTTTTAGTTTTTCTTGGAAAGCACTTTGTTAACTTGCTATAAAAGTGTAATATGTGGATTATCTGGATAACAGTATGTTGTATATTACATATCTATTACATAACCAGTTTTCCAACATGTCATCGCTTACACTGAAATTACAATACTATGGCATTTCCCTCTTTACAGTCATGGACATTCCCACTTTGAATACATGTGGGTGCCGTTGTGGCTCAGTAGCAATAACCAGAAATAGGAAATCACAGCACAGTCTTTACTTTACCTATGAAGCCCAGGGATGGAACTGGAGACAATCCTATTCTATATTTAATTTTGTTTCCTGATTTTTTT